AGTATACTGCACTGTCTGCCTAGTATATCACACACTCCCACAGTATATTGCACTGTCCCCGCCCCCGAGTATATCACTCACGCCCACAGTATACTGCACTGTCCCCCCGCCCCAGTATATCACACACCCCCACAGTATACAGCACTGTACCCCCCAAGTGTATCACACACTCCCATAGTATACTGTACTGTCCCCCCAGTATATCACACGCTCCCACAGTATACTGCTCTGTCTGCCTAGTATATCACACACTCCCACAGTATACCGCACTGTCTGCCCAGTATATCACACACTCCCACAGTATAGTGCACTGTCCCCCCGCCGAGTATATCACTCACCCTCACAGTATATTGCACTGTCCCCGCCCCAAGTATATCACACATTCCCACAGTATATTGCACTGTCCCCCCGCCGAGTATATCACTCACGCCCACAGTATATTGCACTGTCCCCCCGCCGAGTATATCACTCACACTCACAGTATACAGCACTGTACCCCCCAAGTGTATCACACACTCCCATAGTACACTGTACTGTCCCCCCAGTATATCACACACTCCCACAATATACTGCACTGTCACCCAGTATATCACACACCACCACAGTAAACTGCACTGTTCCCCCAGTATATCACACACACTCCCACAGTATACCGCACTGTTCCCCCAGGATATCACACATTTCCACAGTATACTGCACTATCCCCAGGATATCACACACTCCCACAGTATACTACACTGTCCACCAGCATATCACACACTCCCACAGTATACTGCACTGACCCCCCAGTATATCACACACTCCCACAGTATACTGCACTGTCCCCCCATTATATCACACACTCCCACAGTATACTGTAGTCCCCCAAGTATATCACACACTCTCAAAGTATACTGCACTGTCCCCCAAGTATATTACACACTCCCACAGCATACTGCACTGTCCATCAGTATAACACACACTCCCACAGTATACTGCACTGTCCACCAGTATCACACACAC